GAGTATAGACAGGTTGAGTTTGTTGCCGATCTTGATGTTAACTCAGAGTAAATCTGTGTGAACATAAAGAGACTCACAGTTTGGGATTACTGCGCTGACCAACTGGAGAGATGACTAAGCGAAGCACCAACTGTGGCTGCTGAACAAGCTGCTGCTGCGTCTGCTGACAGGCTGAATGAGTGTGTTGGTTTCCATATGCCTGCCGTTATTACATCCACTCTGAGATTATCTGGAAGCTGGACGAGGAGATTAAAGAACGGAGCCTGTGCTGGCGACGTCTCAGTGAGAGAATGGACGCAAAATATTTGGCCCTCCTACCACACCTGCTCATGAGCAAGGCACCGCATCCACAGTTGGCTAAAGAAAGTAAGTGTCGGCTACTTGTGTACATGTGTGTGGCACTGCATTGTGAACTCAGCAGCAGCTGCAGTCATCTGTCGGTGTCTAAACAGAATCTGATCAGCCACAATACTGATGTGCACTCAGACCAAGGGCATCATTTTGTGTTGAAAAGTGGTGAGGACGTAAGGTCTCAGATCAGGTCACGAGACATGACGAAGAAATTTTTAAACTGTTTTGATGAAATATTAATGCTGAAATATTTGGTCCTCCTCCAGGAAATTATGAACAAACACTAAATTTCCTGCATCCTGGAGAAATGTTCAGCACCAATTATTGGTGTAAATATCTCCTCTCACATATTATTTTATATATAATGGAATATAATAGTCTTTTTTTTTTTTTTTTTTTTACAATGCACATTTGCTTCTTCAATATTTAAATTGCACTGCATGTTTTCTTAATATCCAAATAACTCTTTCTCAAAGCAATTTTATTTGTTATTTAACATTCTTGTTGCTTTCTATTTTCTCAACATGTTTAACAAGTTATGCTTTAAAAAACAGGTAATGGGGTCAAAATCAGCCATTTCGAGAAGTGGTGGGGACATGTCCCCAGCGTCCCCGGTGTCAATTACACCTATGACCCAGAAAAAAGTCTAAAAAACGATGGGCACTGATACTTGAAGCCTATAAATACGCATCAAGTGGCACTAACACGTGCAGTGTAAATGAAGTGTAAGCAGTTATTCAGCTGGTGTACTGGGCTGTAATGATGGAAGATGGAACCAAATGCACATCTAAAAAAAGCATCTGAAATATACTTTCAGATCGGTAAATCAGCTGCATCAAGAAAAACACTGGCCAGTATTTGTCAAGCATCTCAGAGTTGAAAATGTGTCAAAATTAATTTCCATGAAGTTGTCAGACACTTTAGTGGACGTACATTTGCCCGCAAGGATTAAAGTGGCAGTCCTGTCTTGCTGCTGCCAGCTGCAGGGCACTCGCTCAGTACTGGACCAGTTTCAAAAAAATATTATCCACATTAGTCATACAGACGCAAATACATGAGAAAATAGGATGAAACATACCGAAGGTACTCTTTAAGCTACAAGTTGTTTTACCTCAGCGTGTATTTCCAGGTGTTGGAGTACTACTGCAAATGTGAAAAAAGTTGTAGAGCCATTAGTGTAAGGTGGTGTTAGTAAGTCTGTCCTCAAGTGATGTTCAGCCAACGCTGGATGGGTCTGAAGACTACAAATGAAAAAAAGTTGGAAGATGTGAGCTTACCAGACCTCTGTAACCTGCTTCTGTCCTCTGCTGAAGGCTCAGGCTACATTAGTTCAGATTGATTTGTCACACAAGAGGAGTTCTGTTATAACAACATCAGCGAGAACGTTGTTGTCTCTGTTGAAAATTGACCCTTTGCTAAGCCACGCCCTGAATATGGAGCTGGCCAATCACAGCGCAGTATAGGAATTGCTCTATCTGAGGTCCGACACTTTCATGGCTGCGTTCCACTGACTCGAATGGAATCGTTTTCTAGCTTGCTTTTTTTTTTTGCTGTATTTTCCCAAGATATGGTGAAACGCTGTTCCTGGGGCACTTGTAACAGTTACAGTCGCTACCCAGAGAGGTTGAAGGGAGAAGTACGATTTATTCTCTTTCCAAAACCTAAAACAAATCCAGAAATATGTCTGTGAAGGTTCTCAGTCGTCCAGGTCATAGTTATCCAAAGAAGGTTCAAGTCAAGGGCAACTGGACTGGACTTGGTTGAAGATCCTAGAAGACGTTTCGTCCCTCATCCAAGAGAGTTCTTCAGTTCTGAAATGACTGGTAGGGAAACTCAGCTATTTAGCCTCTGTGGGATTGTTTGCCAGGATCGTCGATACCGCTGGTTCGTTAGTGCTCCTGGCTGGTAACGGCAGCCGTCACGGTCGTGAAAAACTACCTGTGGCCAAGTCTGAATGACCATCGTTGGTCACTTGAGACCAAGAGAAATTCTTGTTGAGTTTCCTGGAAAGTGATGATGTCTGATACTCCAGACACAATGTTGTTGCGTTTGAACTTCTTCTCCTCATCCCCTGTTGTGTTGGTCTTCCGGGATCTCGTGGGGTTTTCACAAAGTGGGGTATCCGCAGGCTGTAAGCCCCCTTCATGTGGTTCTGTTCCTTCTCTTGGCTTGACCGCTTGTTGGTAGGTTGTCCGCTCGGTGCTGCAGGGTTCTGATGACCCCTAGCTTGTGTTCCAGTGGGTGGTGGGAATCTAAAAGTAGGAACTGGTCTGTGTGTGTGGGTTTCCTGTTTCCAGTGGTTCACTTTTACTCTGTGATCGGTAGGCTTTAGCTTCTGTCTTATTTGTTTCACGTCAGTTTGACAACCTCCAAATGCAAACCTTTCGGCCTCCTTTCTGAGACCACAAAAATTAGACATTTATCCTGGAGGTGCAGTAATAGACAGTGGAAGTGCCGTGATAAATCTGACAGGTCTGGACTGAACTAAGGGGGACGTGGCTTAGCAAAGCGTCAATTGAGCGTAGGCGAGAAGCGAAGAAAGGTTCGGGGGCGGCACAGTTACGTTCATAGTCAATGCAAAGGGGGGCGGTGACAGCAACGCAAAGGCATTTGCGTGAGTTGAAAATTTTAAACTCGAACGAGAAATGTATTATTTTGATTTAGAGACTAACGAGAGAAAGAGGAGGAAGGAGGAGGATGACAGGTTGTCAGGCCTCACTCATCAAAATCAAATCGTCAATCGATTGCTGCTGGATCTTGATATGTTGATTTTATTACACTCATTTAGACTACAGTTCCGAGAAACCCGCTAACATCTTGAAATGTCTTGTTTTGTCCGACCAACAGCCCAAAACCAGATTCAGTTTATTGTGACAAAAAATAGAGGAAAGCAGCAGATCTGAGACATTGGAGAAGCTGGAACCTGATAATATTTGGTGCTTTTGCTTGATTTCTTAGAACCTGTTTAAACCAAGCTTTATCCCCAGGAAACACCTAAAATAATGTACCAAAAATGACTACTTAAATGTTGACCGTTTACTGAGAGTTTTACTTCAATAAATATAAATCTCCTAAAAAACATTTAAATATTAATAAACACTCTTAACATTGATCAGTATTCATATGACAGGCTCTGGCTAATAAAAAGCCCCGACAGTGATGAGTCTCAGTCAGGGGAACAGAACGCTGTGAGGCTCGTTGGTGTCAGTACTACCAGTCAGCCACAAGATGGGGACAAAGACCATGTGTTTCAGTGGACAGGTGTAGCCCCGCCTACAGCAGCACCTTCCACATGTAATGATTCCAGTCAATTATGCTGGTGGTTTTATGTGACTAAACCTACAAAAACAGCAAAGGCCAGACAGAATTTGTGGTTATAAATGTATAAACGTACGTTGTTTATTCCGTTTTGGTCATATATGAGTTATACTGCGGAGTTTCAAGCTGTGTCTCAATTCAGATACTTCGTTTGTACCAACACGTTCTCACTTCTAACTCGTCACATATGGACGCTTGGTTACACCCTGGGTACCCTATAGTGTCGTTTTTGCACATGTATGGCTCCGCTGCCACGTTAACAACAAAAAATATGCAACGTCCAGTTGGAATTTCAAAATAAAACTAGTGGGTAACGTTGCAGTTTTGTTAGATTTAGGAAAGATCATGGTTTGGGTTAACATTACAACGTTACCTGACGACTTAACTACTAACTACGTAATTTAAATACGGGAAATGAACACTGGTCCACTATGGACTTAATTTGTGTAGTGCATACATTTCGACAGGGAAGCGTTGTCTCAAAAGAGTCAAAAGACCAATTAAATTTTACCAAACAATTATGTCAACATGTCAGCAGCGTGGAAGCATTTTAAAGTGTCCGAGAAAGACGCAAAAATGGCCGTTTGCAGACACTGTTCTGCTGAACTGTCTCCCAGCATATCCACTCCATCTGCGCAAATACATTACTTATTTAACATCATTTATCAAACCGGGTCGGACTGGA